AGTTTTGACTTAAATATGTCAGAGTTGACAAAAGATGAGCTAGAGCATGCCATCATCATCAGACAGCTGAATGTCCTCCTCTATCTGATAATCTTCCTCTAGCCACTCGATGTTCTGGGCTTTGATCAGAGCTTTTAGCATTGACTCCAGCTTTTGCCCATGTTCTTTCATGCCTTTCACTGACCGCTTCATCTTACGCAATTCTGAAGATACTTTCTCTTGGTTGCTCCGAACTTTTTCAATGTCACTCTGCAATACAAACAAAAAAGAAAATCGGTGAAATGTGAAGAATAGCAAAGTGCATCAGTCCCCACCCTCACATCAATCCCTACCAGTCCCCACCCTCACCTAACATCAATCCCCACCCTCACCTAAGATCAGTCCCCACCCTCACCTAAGATCAGTCCCCACCCTCACCTAAGATCAGTCCCCACCCTCACCTAACATCAATCCCCACCAGTCCCCACCCTCACCTAAGATCAGTCCCCACCCTCACCTAAGATCAGTCCCCACCCTCACCTAAGATCAGTCCCCACCCTCACCTAAGATCAGTCCCCACCCTCACCTAAGATCAGTCCCCACCCTCACCTAAGATCAGTCCCCACCCTCACCTAAGATCAGTCCCCACCCTCACCTAAGATCAGTCCCCACCCTCACCTAAGATCAGTCCCCACCCTCACCTAAGATCAGTCCCCACCAGTCCCCACCCTCACCTAAGATCAGTCCCCACCCTCACCTAAGATCAGTCCCCACCCTCACCTAAGATCAGTCCCCACCCTCACCTAAGATCAGTCCCCACCAGTCCCCACCCTCACCTAAGATCAGTCCCCACCCTCACCTAAGATCAGTCCCCACCCTCACCTAAGATCAGTCCCCACCCTCACCTAACATCAATCCCCACCCTCACCTAAGATCAGTCCCCACCCTCACCTAAGATCAGTCCCCACCCTCACCTAAGATCAGTCCCCACCCTCACCTAAGATCAGTCCCCACCCTCACCTAAGATCAGTCCCCACCCTCACCTAAGATCAGTCCCCACCCTCACCTAAGATCAGTCCCCACCCTCACCTAAGATCAGTCCCCACCCTCACCTAAGATCAGTCCCCACCCTCACCTAAGATCAGTCCCCACCCTCACCTAAGATCAGTCCCCACCCTCACCTAAGATCAGTCCCCACCCTCACCTAAGATCAGTCCCCACCCTCACCTAAGATCAGTCCCCACCCTCACCTAAGATCAGTCCCCACCCTCACCTAAGATCAGTCCCCACCCTCACCTAAGATCAGTCCCCACCCTCACCTAAGATCAGTCCCCACCCTCACCTAAGATCAGTCCCCACCCTCACCTAAGATCAGTCCCCACCCTCACCTAAGATCAGTCCCCACCCTCACCTAAGATCAGTCCCCACCCTCACCTAAGATCAGTCCCCACCCTCACCTAAGATCAGTCCCCACCCTCACCTAAGATCAGTCCCCACCCTCACCTAACATCAATCCCCAACAGTCCCCACCCTCACCTAAGATCAGTCCCCACCCTCACCTAAGATCAGTCCCCACACTCACCTAAGACCAATCCCCACCCTCACCTGTACCCACTAGTGTTAAAGAAAAAAAAATGCCATACTAATTCTGGGTTCAGGGCTTTCTGCAAGGCTTGTGGGCTGAGGTGGGAGCCAGTCATGGCTGAGACTAGTGGGTTGGAATAGGTCCTGTTTGGTCGGATGGTCTTCTTGCGAGTAAATGCTCTTCTTTTAATGAAATCAGGAAGAACTCGCTCTACATCTAGGGCAAGTTCCACCTGCATGGCCATACGCTTGAGGGCAGCCTGCTCCTGGACAGCTTTAATATCATCCACAGCTAGCCCAACCTGAAGGACACTCAACAGCTTTAATATCATCCACAGCTAGCCCAACCTGAAGGACACTCAACAGCTTTAAGATCATCCACAGCTAGCCCAACCTGAAGGACACTCAACAGCTTTAATATCACCCACAGCTAGCCCAACCTGAAGGACACTCAACAGCTTTAATATCACCCACAGCTAGCCCAACCTGAAGGACACTCAACAGCTTTAATATCATCCACAGCTAGCCCAACCTGAAGGACACTCAACAGCTTTAATATCATCCACAGCTAGCCCAACCTGAAGGACACTCAACAGCTTTAAGATCATCCACAGCTAGCCCAACCTGAAGGACACTCAACAGCTTTAATATCACCCACAGCTAGCCCAACCTGAAGGACACTCAACAGCTTTAATATCACCCACAGCTAGCCCAACCTGAAGGACACTCAACAGCTAAGACAAGATGTATGACAGACAGTCAACAGCTAACAGAAGATGTAGGACTGACAAGGAGATGTTTACCAACAAGTTCATGATGAGAATGCTCATGATAATGAGGAAGAAGACGAAGATGATGTAGGAGGCAGCAGGGTAGATCAGGGGGTCATGCTTTTCATTGAAGATCCCATCGAACTCAAACTCTCCAATCAACATGACCGATGTCTTCACTAGAGCTTTGGGCACTGTTTCAAAAGGTACCTGGACAGTGAGAAAAACAAGCTGGACATAATTATCACACCTTTTGACTGGACACTGTTATCACACCTGTTTGGACACAATTATCAAACCTTTTGACACAACACTATTATAACACCTGTTAAGGATAGTGTGACTGTATGTGGTGTGATGTCATGGAGTTAAATTTGGTGGATCCCAGGATCAAAGTACATGAAATGTATAGCATTACACAGGTTTTACCCTAAGACCTTAGACCAACGTGTTAGCTCAGTCTTAGCTCTCAATAACACCTCCAGCCTATACCTTAGCTCAGTCACAGCTAACACCTCCAGCCTATACCTTAGTCACAGCTAACACCTCCAGCCTATACCTTAGCTCAGTCACAGCTAACACCTCCAGCCTATACCTTAGTCACAGCTAACACCTCCAGCCTATACCTTAGCTCACTCACAGCTAACACCTCCAGCCTATACCTTAGCTCACTCACAGCTAACACCTCCAGCCTATACCTTAGCTCACTCACAGCTAACACCTCCAGCCTATACCTTAGTCACAGCTAACACCTCCAGCCTATACCTTAGCTCACTCACAGCTAACACCTCCAGCCTATACCTTAGTCACAGCTAACACCTCCAGCCTATACCTTAGTCACAGCTAACACCTCCAGCCTATACCTTAGTCACAGCTAACACCTCCAGCCTATACCTTAGCTCAGTCACAGCTAACACCTCCAGCTTATACCTAAGTCACAGCTAACACCTCCAGCCTATACCTTAGCTCACTCACAGCTAACACCTCCAGCCTATACCTTAGCTCAGGCACAGCTAACACCTCCAGCCTATACCTTAGCTCAGGCACAGCTAACACATCTAGCCTATACCTTAGCTCAGTCACAGCTAACACCTCCAGCTTATACCTTAGTCACAGCTAACACCTCCAGCCTATACCTTAGCTCACTCACAGCTAACACCTCCAGCCTATACCTTAGCTCACTCACAGCTAACACCTCCAGCCTATACCTTATCTCACTCACAGCTAACACCTCCAGCCTATACCTTAGCTCACTCACAGCTAACACCTCCAGCCTATACCTTAGCTCAGTCACAGCTAACACCTCCAGCCTATACCTTAGCTCAGTCACAGCTAACACCTCCAGCCTATACCTTAGCTCAGTCACAGCTAACACCTCCAGCCTATACCTCAGTCACAGCTAACACCTCCAGCCTATACCTTAGCTCAGTCACAGCTAACACCTCCAGCCTATACCTTAACTCACTCACAGCTAACACCTCCAGCCTATACCTTAGTCACAGCTAACACCTCCAGCCTATACCTTAGCTCAGTCACAGCTAACACCTCCAGCCTATACCTTAGCTCACTCACAGCTAACACCTCCAGCCTATACCTTAGTCACAGCTAACACCTCCAGCCTATACCTTAGCTCACTCACAGCTAACACCTCCAGCCTATACCTTAGCTCAGTCACAGCTAACACCTCCAGCCTATACCTTAGCTCAGTCACAGCTAACACCTCCAGCCTATACCTTAGTCACAGCTAACACCTCCAGCCTATACCTTAGTCACAGTTAACACCTCCAGCCTATACCTTAGTCACAGCTAACACCTCCAGCCTATACCTTAGTCACAGCTAACACCTCCAGCCTATACCTTAGCTCACAGCTAACACCTCCAGCCTATACCTTAGCTCACAGCTAACACCTCTAGCCTATAACTTAGCTCAGTCACAGTTAACACCTCCAGCCTATACCTCAGTCACAGCTAACACCTCCAGCCTATACCTTAGCTCACTCACAGCTAACACCTCCAGTCTATACCTTAGCTCAGTCACAGCTAACACCTCCAGCCTATACCTTAGCTCACTCACAGCTAACACCTCCAGCCTATACCTTAGCTCACTCACAGCTAACACCTCCAGCCTATACCTTAGCTCAGTCACAGCTAACACCTCCAGCTTATACCTTAGCTCACTCACAGCTAACACCTGCAGCCTATACCTTAGTCACAGCTAACACCTCCAGCCTATACCTTAGCTCACTCACAGCTAACACCTCCAGCCTATACCTTAGCTCAGTCACAGCTAACACCTCCAGCCTATAACTTAGCTCAGTCACAGCTAACACCTCCAGCCTATACCTTAGTCACAGCTAACACCTCCAGCCTATACCTTAGCTCAGTCACAGCTAACACCTCCAGCCTATACCTTAGCTCAGTCACAGCTAACACCTCCAGCCTATACCTTAGCTCAGTCACAGCTAACACCTCCAGCCTATACCTTAGTCACAGCTAACACCTCCAGCCTATACCTTAGTCACAGCTAACACCTCCAGCCTATACCTTAGTCACAGCTAACACCTCCAGCCTATACCTTAGTCACAGCTAACACCTCCAGCCTATACCTTAGCTCACAGCTAACACCTCCAGCCTATACCTTAGTCACAGCTAACACCTCCAGCCTATACCTTAGCTCAGTCACAGCTAACACCTCCAGCCTATACCTTAGCTCACTCACAGCTAACACCTCCAGCCTATACCTTAGCTCACTCACAGCTAACACCTCCAGCCTATACCTTAGCTCAGTCACAGCTAACACCTCCAGCCTATACCTTAGCTCACTCACAGCTAACACCCCCAGCCTATACCTTAGCTCACTCACAGCTAACACCTCCAGCCTATACCTTAGCTCAGTCACAGCTAACACCTCCAGCCTATACCTTAGTCACAGCTAACACCTCCAGCCTATACTTAGCTCAGTCACAGATGTACTCACCTGATTTTGTAGGACTGTAAAAAAGGCCAGGGCAAAGGCCAGGATGAAGAGAAAAAAAACAATGAAGAACTGAGAAAACGTGTGGAGTACATCGGTGAACATGACCACATAGATCCCAAACTGGGGAAACTTTTGGATGAACAGGACCAGGTCAAACCAGGCTAGGAACAGTGTCACGGCACCCATATGCCACTGCCATTCCTGGGGACAAACATATGTGACAGATGACATTGGAGGCTACAAGTGACATGTCAGTTAACGCGTGTTAGGTGACCTCTATTCCAATGCTGGGTAGTCATTTTACTTTCATATTGCTTTTTCTAGTGAAATATATATTTGAATGATTTTAAAAAAAAAGGACTTAGTCCACATGAAAAAAAATTTCCGGTATCCCCACCCCCACCACACGACACAGTGAAGGGGTCACTGTGAGGTCACAGTAGTCAAGTCAAGAGTACGCCTGTCTAACGTCATAACATGAACTGTACTGTAACTTTAGTCCCCACCAACCCCCACCCCAACCAAACAGCAACATGAACTGTACCCCCACCCCAGCCAAACACCAGCAACTACTGTACTGTAACGTTTTAATAACAAGCTTTTATGAACTATTGCACTAAAAAAGAAAATAAATTATAGACTACTATTTAAATAACTATAAAGAAAAGCGTGGCTCTCTTCCTAAACATTAGTAAAGGTATCCAATAGATACTAAAGTGAACCACGCTTTTCTTTATAGTTATTTAAATCTAATATATAAAGTTAAACTCTGTATGTTTTTAAAATGTTTGTAATCGAGGATTACAAAGGAATATAAGAAAAAACGAAAAAAAAAAAACCCCGATACTTTTAGGGATTCAAGTGTTAGATTATTAAAGTACTCATGGTATAAATTTATGAGTTAAAAAATTACTATTGAAAGTCTTTAAAAAGATATTTTATTTTATATACTTAGAATAATAATTTTCAATTATGAGCATTACATAAAATTTTAAAAAGTGTATCAACGTTTATAAAATTTCTAAAATTGTGTCTGAAATGTATTTGCATTTTGTCATTTACTTATCATTTGGAAAACACAGTTACTTCCCTTTGAAAAACCATTAAATCGAGGTTAGAAAGAATTTACTTTTTACAAGCTTTTATTTAACTCACTTCCTCTGTCGACAGTCTGTCGACAGTCTGTCTAGATGGAAACGCAGGAGTGAAAATTCGGACAGTTCTACTTGACCGATACGATTCACAGTTGGCACGTGGGTCAAGACATAAAGACAATGCAATCTGAATCTAAATTTGACTTAATTGGATGCCTAATTAATTTTTTATGAATTAATTAAAATTTGGACCGAATTAGTAGGCATGTCTAGCCAACCACACCACACGCGTCATCACCTTCAATAGCTGCGCCATCACGTAATGGCTGCGTTCAAAAACCATTGCGCGCCTACTGAACGTGATGTTCAGTAGGCGCGCAATGGTTTTTAGTCATGTAACTCTATTGTAAATAAAACATGTAAAGTACTGAAAAAAAAATTCATAAAAAACGTTTTAATAACAAGCTTTTATGTAACAATGCACTAAAAAGTAGAAAATAAATTATAGACTACTATTTAAATAACTATAAAGAAAAGCGTGGGTGTCTTCCTTAACATTAGTAAAGGTATCCAATAGATACTAAAGTGACCCACGCTTTTCTTTATAGTTATTTAAATAGTAGTCTATAATTTATTTTCTACTTTTTAGTGCATTGTTACATAAAAGCTTGTTATTAAAACGTTTTTTATGAATTTTTTTTTTACAAGCTTTTATTTAACTCACTTCCTCGTCAGTCGTCAGTCTAGACGGAAACGCAGGAGTGAAAATTCGGACAGTTCTACTTGACCGATACGATTCACAGTTGGCACGTGGGTCAAGACATGAAGACAATGCAATCTGAATCTAAATTTGACTTAATTGGATGCCTAATTAATTTTTTATGAATTAATTAAAATTTGGACCGAATTATTAGGCATGTCTAGCCAACCACACCACACGCGTCATCACCTTCAATAGCTGCGCCATCACGTAATGGCTGCGTTCAAAAACCATTGCGCGCCTACTGAACGTCATGTTCAGTAGGCGCGCAATGGTTTTTAGTCATGTAACTCTATTGTAAATAAAACATGTAAAGTACTGAAAAAAAAATTCATAAAAAACGTTTTAATAACAAGCTTTTATGTAATGATGCACTAAAAAGTAAAATAAATTATAGACTACTATTTAAATAACTATAAAGAAAAGCGTGGGTGTCTTCCTTAACATTAGTAAAGGTATCCAATAGATACTAAAGTGACCCACGCTTTTCTTTATAGTTATTTAAATAGTAGTCTATAATTTATTTTACTTTTTAGTGCATCATTACATAAAAGCTTGTTATTAAAACGTTTTTTATGAATTTTTTTATTACTTTGTTTTGGTGTTAGGAAAAAAATAATTACATAATTAGCGGGGATTGATTAAGTGCAATGTAGTTGGTATTTTTAATACTGCCTTTTATTTATTCTATACACTGAACGTACTGTTTACTAATTATTTTTTTAAATCAATAACATTTAATAAGCCAGGTCCTACAAATCCTATATGTTTATTTCTTTCCATTTACGGATAAGCTTGGAGTATTATAATTTTGTTCACTAAATTGAAACAGGCGCATCCGCCGGCGCCCCTGCACGGTTCGATTTGGCGCCCTGGGCTATCATGTGAGCGCTATGGTGCATAATTTCGTTTTAAACAGTGCGATAGACTATGGATAAAAAAGGTTACTATAGTCTTTAAGTGAATCAAATCCGGGCGTCCTCTGGCACCCCGATAGGACGCTATTTGGCACCCCGGACCTTCCCGTGTTTGCTATGGTACCTACGTTCGCGTAAGTGAGTTCAAAAGACTATGAATAAGTTGGAAACTATAGTCGTTTACTAAGTTGAATCAGGCGGTTACGCCGCACATCGTCATGGAGCGATTTGGCACCCCGGGCTAGACTGTGGACACTTTGAGTTTATCTTTGGGTTTGTGTTTGTATTTGTTTTTGTGTTATGTTTTCGATCTAGACTGACGACTTACGACAGACTGACGACGAAGTGAGTTAAATAAAAGCTTGTAAAAACGTTTTAATAACAAGCTTTTATGTACTAATGCACTAAAAAGTAGAAAATAAATCATAGACTACTATTTAAATAACTATAAAAAAAAGCGTGGGTCTCTTCCTAAACATTAGTAAAGGTATCCAATAGATACTAAAGTGAACCACGCTTTTCTTTATAGTTATTTAAATAGTAGTCTATAATTTATTTTCTACTTTGTAGTGTTTTAGTATATAAAAGCTTGTTATTAAAACGTTTTTTATGAAATTTTTTTAGTACTTTACATGTTTTTATTTACAATATAGTTTCATGACTAAAAACCATTGCGCGCCTATTGAACGTGATGGCGCAGCTATTGAACGTGATGACGCGTGTGGTGCGGTTGGATAGAAATGCCTACTAATTCGGTCCAAATTTTAAGTAATTCATAAAAAAATTAATTAGGCATCCAATTAAGTCAAATTTAATTTCAGATTGCATTGTTTTCATGTCTTGACCCACGTGCCAAGTGTAAACCGTATCGGTCAAGTAGAAGTGTCCGAATTTTCGCTCTAGCGTTTCGATCTAGACAGACTGACGACAGACAGAGGAAGTGAGTTTAATAAAAGCTTGTCAAATTTTTCATAAAAAACGTTTGAATAACAAGCTTTTATCTACTAATGCACTAAAAAGTAGAAAACAAATTATAGACTACTATTTAAATAACTATAAAGAAAAGCGTGGGTCTCTTCCTAAATATAAGTAAAAGTATCCAATAGATACTAAAGTGGCCCACGCTTTTCTTTATAGTTATTTAAATAGTAGTCTTTACAAGTTTTTTTAATATCATGTGCTGTCGCTCATGTCTAACTCAATTGTCTGTGTTTGTCATTACATTTACAATTTACACTACTGACAAACAATTAAGTTCTTGTTTTTTTTTTGTAGCAACGTTCAGTACACATGGGTGATAGTGTATTGTAGTGTGAAGTCTTTTTAAAATAAAATGAGATTGTAAATTTCTGGTAAATGTAAATTAATGTATTTAGTTTAGTACTATTTTTTTTTGGACAACAAGAGCCCATGGATGGACTGATAGACAACAAGAGCCCCTGGATGGACAACAAGAGCCCATGGATGGACTGATAGACAACAAGAGCCCCTGGATGGACAACAAGAGCCCCTGGATGGACAACAAGAGCCCCTGGATGGACTGATGGACAACAAGAGCCCCTGGATGGACAACAAGAGCCCCTGGATGGACAACAAGAGCCCCTGGATGGACTGATGGACAACAAGAGCCCCTGGATGGACAACAAGAGCCCCTGGATGGACAACAAGAGCCCCTGGATGGACTGATGGACAACAAGAGCCCCTGGATGGACAACAAGAGCCCCTGGATGGACAACAAGAGCCCCTGGATGGACAACAAGAGCCCCTGGATGGACTGATGGACAACAAGAGCCCCTGGATGGACTGATGGACAACAAGAGCCCCTGGATGGACAACAAGAGCCCCTTACATATCTGTAGCCTGTCTGGCGCTGACAGTCGTTGAAGCTGACGACCAGGAGAAGAGCTGTCAGGTAGACTGTCCACTCGATTAAGTTGATCCAACCCAAGTAGTTCAGTTTGGCTTGGTAGATCTGAAGCAGCTGGATGCAAGAGGAGAAACATGGATAAGTGGAGTGGATGAATGAGTTAGTGGCACATGGATAAGTGGAGTGGATGCAAGGGGAGAAACATGGATAAGTGGAGTGGATGAATGACTTGTTGAGCCTAATGTGGGGAGAGAGGGTATGTTGGACTGAGTGACATGAATCTGTGAGGTAAATGTAAAGGTGGGGGGGGGGGGGGGTTGGATAGTATAGTTTAGGTATTGTTATCTAAACCCAGGTTGTTTGGGTATTGTTATCTAAACCCAGGTTGTTTGGGTATTGTTATCTAAACCCAGGTTGTTTGGGTATTGTTATCTAAACCCAGGTTGTTTGGGTATTGTTATCTAAACCCAGGTTGTTTGGGTATTGTTATCTAAACCCAGGTTGTTTGGGTATTGTTATCTAAACCCAGGTTGTTTGGGTATTGTTATCTAAACCCAGGTTGTTTGGGTATTGTTATCTAAACCCAGGCTAGGGTCGTGGGCTTGCTTGTAGTGGCTAGGGTCGAGGACTTGTTGGTAGCGGCTAGGGTCGTGGGCTTGTTGGTAGCGACTAGGTTTTTTTAACTAGCATCAAAACAAACTCAAATAGAGGTAATTTTTTTCTTCTGGGAAGTAATTGGTACTAAGTGATGTCATTTGTATATTTTGTCTAACAAAATTTATTTTGTAAAGGTTAGTTAGTTAATTTTGTTCTTTGCACACTACTTCAATGAAAATGATAAGTTGTAACATGAAAATTTAGTTAAAAAATGATCAATATTGAGTTTTTTAATTGTCTAGCTTTTAGTAAAAAAAATGATCACTTTAAAAATATTACACAATGGTGATCAATTCAAGTTTTTTTTACTATATGTAAGTCATCCACAAGTCAGTGCACCACAGAGACACAAAATTTGAAATGTATTACATGTTACTCTGGCCAGAATCTCTAGAGCTGTGACCAAGCTGGATTTAGAAAAGGCAAATGATGTATTGAGCACATATTTTTGTGCCACAAATACTATGGCAAAACTATGATTTTGAAAACGTTTTTTCATAGCCTAGACAGAACAAAAGTTTGGAAAGTCTTACTTTCCAGAAATAAATATAAATGCCATCTATTATATATGAAGGGTTCCAATGCAAAGTTCTATGTGTTAGCTATAATATCACCCAGCCATGTATGTTTCAGACAGGAGTCAAACGAGGGTGGGCTCTGTCACTGCTGCTGTTAACCAAGTCATTGACTGGCTGATGACACAAACTACAGACAGAGAGGAATCAGATATTCACTGGCTGATGACACAAACTACAGACAGAGACACATCAGATATTGACTGGCTGATGACACAAACTACAGACAGAGAGGAATCAGATATTCACTGGCTGATGACACAAACTACAGACAGAGAGAAATCAGATATTGACTGGTTGATGACACAAACTACAGACAGAGAGAAATCAGATATTGACTGGCTGATGACACAAACTACAGACAGACATCAGATATTGACTGGCTGATGACACAAACTACAGACAGAGAGACATCAGATATTGACTGGCTGATGACACAAACTACAGACAGAGAGACATCAGATATTGACTGGCTGATGACACAAACTACAGACAGAGAGAAATCAGATATTGACTGGCTGATGACACAAACTACAGACAGAGACACATCAGATATTGACTGGCTGATGACACAAACTACAGACAGAGAGAAATCAGATATTGACTGGCTGATGACACAAACTACAGACAGAGAGAAATCAGATATTGACTGGCTGATGACACAAACTACAGACAGAGACACATCAGATATTGACTGGCTGATGACACAAACTACAGACAGAGAGAAATCAGATATTGACTGGCTGATGACACAAACTACAGACAGAGAGACATCAGATATTCACTGGCTGATGACACAAACTACAGACAGAGACACATCAGATATTGACTGGCTGATGACACAAACTACAGACAGAGAGAAATCAGATATTGACTGGCTGATGACACAAACTACAGACAGAGACACATCAGATATTGACTGGCTGATGACACAAACTACAGACAGAGAAACATCAGATATTGACTGGCTGATGACACAAACTACAGACAGAGAGACATCAGATATTGACTGGCTGATGACACAAACTACAGACAGAGAGACATCAGATATTGACTGGCTGATGACACAAACTACAGACAGAGAGACATCAGATATTGACTGGCTGATGACACAAACTACAGACAGAGAGAAATCAGATATTGACTGGCTGATGACACAAACTACAGACAGAGACACATCAGATATTGACTGGCTGATGACACAAACTACAGACAGAGAGAAATCAGATATTGACTGGCTGATGACACAAACTACAGACAGAGAGAAATCAGATATTGACTGGCTGATGACACAAACTACAGACAGAGACACATCAGATATTGACTGGCTGATGACACAAACTACAGACAGAGAGAAATCAGATATTGACTGGCTGATGACACAAACTACAGACAGAGAGACATCAGATATTCACTGGCTGATGACACAAACTACAGACAGAGACACATCAGATATTGACTGGCTGATGACACAAACTACAGACAGAGAGAAATCAGATATTGACTGGCTGATGACACAAACTACAGACAGAGACACATCAGATATTGACTGGCTGATGACACAAACTACAGACAGAGAGAAATCAGATATTGACTGGCTGATGACACAAACTACAGACAGAGACACATCAGATATTGACTGGCTGATGACACAAACTACAGAGAGGAATCAGATATTGACTGGCTGATGACACAAACTACAGAGAGAAATCAGATATTGACTGGCTGATGACACAAACTACAGACAGAGACACATCAGATATTGACTGGCTGATGACACAAACTACAGACAGAGAGAAATCAGATATTGACTGGCTGATGACACAAACTACAGACAGAGAGACATCAGATATTCACTGGCTGATGACACAAACTACAGACAGAGACACATCAGATATTGACTGGCTGATGACACAAACTACAGACAGAGAGAAATCAGATATTGACTGGCTGATGACACAAACTACAGACAGAGACACATCAGATATTGACTGGCTGATGACACAAACTACAGACAGAGAGAAATCAGATATTGACTGGCTGATGACACAAACTACAGACAGAGACACATCAGATATTGACTGGCTGATGACACAAACTACAGACAGAGAGGAATCAGATATTGACTGGCTGATGACACAAACTACAGAGAGGAATCAGATATTGACTGGCTGATGACACAAACTACAGACAGAGAGGAATCAGATATTCACTGGCTGATGACACAAACTACAGACAGAGAGACATCAGATATTCACTGGCTGATGACACAAACTACAGACAGAGACACATCAGATATTGACTGGCTGATGACACAAACTACAGACAGAGAGAAATCAGATATTGACTGGCTGATGACACAAACTACAGACAGAGACACATCAGATATTGACTGGCTGATGACACAAACTACAGACAGAGAGAAATCAGATATTGACTGGCTGATGACACAAACTACAGAGAGGAATCAGATATTGACTGGCTGATGACACAAACTACAGACAGAGAGGAATCAGATATTCACTGGCTGATGACACAAACTACAGACAGAGAGAAATCAGATATTGACTGGCTGATGACACAAACTACAGACAGAGAGGAATCAGATATTGACTGGCTGATGACACAAACTACAGAGAGGAATCAGATATTGACTGGCTGATGACACAAACTACAGACAGAGAGAAATCAGATATTGACTGGCTGATGACACAAACTACAGACAGAGAGAAATCAGATATTGACTGGCTGATGACACAAACTACAGACAGAGAGGAATCAGATATTGACTGGCTGATGACACAAACTACAGACAGAGAGAAATCAGATATTGACTGGCTGATGACACAAACTACAGACAGAGAGAAATCAGATATTGACTGGCTGATGACACAAACTACAGACAGAGAGGAATCAGATATTGACTGGCTGATGACACAAACTACAGACAGAGAGGAATCAGATATTGACTGGCTGATGACACAAACTACAGACAGAGAGAAATCAGATATTGACTGGCTGATGACACAAACTACAGACAGAGAGAAATCAGATATTGACTGGCTGATGACACAAACTACAGACAGAGAGAAATCAGATATTGACTGGCTGATGACACAAACTACAGACAGAGAGAAATCAGATATTGACAGGCTGATGACACAAACTACAGACAGAGAGAAATCAGATATTGACTGGCTGATGACACAAACTACAGACAGAGAGAAATCAGATATTGACTGGCTGATGACACAAACTACAGACAGAGAGAAATCAGATATTGACTGGCTGATGACACAAACTACAGACAGAGAGGAATCAGATATTGACTGGCTGATGACACAAACTACAGACAGAGAGAAATCAGATATTGACTGGCTGATGACACAAACTACAGACAGAGAGACATCAGATATTGACTGGCTGATGACACAAACTACAGACAGAGAGGAATCAGATATTGACTGGCTGATGACACAAACTACAGACAGAGAGAAATCAGATATTGACTGGCTGATGACACAAACTACAGACAGAGAGAAATCAGATATTGACTGGTTGATGACACAAACTACAGACAGAGAGAAATCAGATATTGACAGGCTGATGACACAAACTACAGACAGAGAGACATCAGATATTGACTGGCTGATGACACAAACTACAGACAGAGAGAAATCAGATATTGACTGGCTGATGACACAAACTACAGACAGAGAGGAATCAGATATTGACTGGCTGATGACACAAACTACAGACAGAGAGAAATCAGATATTGACTGGCTGATGACACAAACTACAGACAGAGAGAAATCAGATATTGACTGGCTGATGACACAAACTACAGACAGAGAGAAATCAGATATTGACTGGCTGATGACACAAACTACAGACAGAGAGAAATCAGATATTGACTGGCTGATGACACAAACTACAGACAGAGAGAAATCAGATATTGACTGGCTGATGACACAAACTACAGACAGAGAGAAATCAGATATTGACTGGCTGATGACACAAACTACAGACAGAGAGGAATCAGATATTGACTGGCTGATGACACAAACTACAGACAGAGAGAAATCAGATATTGACTGGCTGATGACACAAACTACAGACAGAGAGAAATCAGATATTGACTGGCTGATGACACAAACTACAGACAGAGAAACATCAGATATTGACTGGCTGATGACACAAACTACAGACAGAGAGACATCAGATATTGACTGGCTGATGACACAAACTACAGACAGAGAGAAATCAGATATTGACTGGCTGATGACACAAACTACAGAGAGAAATCAGATATTGACTGGCTGATGACACAAACTACAGACAGAGAGAAATCAGATATTGACTGGCTGATGACACAAACTACAGACAGAGAGAAATCAGATATTGACTGGCTGATGACACAAACTACAGACAGAGAGAAATCAGATATTGACTGGCTGATGACACAAACTACAGACAGAGAAACATCAGATATTGACTGGCTGATGACACAAACTACAGACAGAGAGAAATCAGATATTGACTGGCTGATGACACAAATTACAGACAGAGAGACATCAGATATTGACTGGCTGATGACACAAACTACAGAGAGAAATCAGATATTGACTGGCTGATGACACAAACTACAGACAGAGAGAAATCAGATATTGACTGGCTGATGACACAAACTACAGACAGAGAGGAATCAGATATTGACTGGCTGATGACACAAACTACAGAGAGGAATCAGATATTGACTGGCTGATGACACAAACTACAGAGAGAGAGAAATCAGATATTGACTGGCTGATGACACAAACTACAGACAGAGAGAAATCAGATATTGACTGGCTGATGACACAAACTACAGACAGAGAGAAATCAGATATTGACTGGCTGATGACACAAACTACAGACAGAGAGAAATCAGATATTGACTGGCTGATGACACAAACTACAGACAGAGAGACATCAGATATTGACTGGCTGATGACACAAACTACAGACAGAGAGAAATCAGATATTGACTGGCTGATGACACAAACTACAGACAGAGAGACATCAGATATTGACTGGCTGATGACACAAACTACAGACAGAGAGAAATCAGATATTGACTGGCTGATGACACAAACTACAGACAGAGAGGAATCAGATATCGACTGGCTGATGACACAAACTACAGACAGAGAGGAATCAGATATTGACTGGCTGATGACACAAACTACAGACAGAGAGGAATCAGATATTGACTGGCTGATGACACAAACTACAGACAGAGAGAAATCAGATATTGACTTGCTGATGACACAAACTACAGACAGAGAGGAATCAGATATTGACTGGCTGATGACACAAACTACAGACAGAGAGGAATCAGATATTCACTGGCTGATGACACAAACTACAGACAGAGAGAAATCAGATATTGACTGGCTGATGACACAAACTACAGACAGAGAGACATCAGATATTGACTGGCTGATGACACAAACTACAGACAGAGAGAAATCAGATATTGACTGGCTGATGACACAAACTACAGACAGAGAGACATCAGATATTGACTGGCTGATGACACAAACTACAGAGAGACATCAGATATTGACTGGCTGATGACACAAACTACAGACAGAGAGACATCAGATATTGACTGGCTGATGACACAAACTATAGACAGAGAGACATCAGATATTGACTGGCTGATGACACAAACTACAGACAGAGAGGAATCAGATATTGACTGGCTGATGACACAAACTACAGACAGAGAGACATCGGATATTGACTGGCTGATGACACAAACTACAGACAGAGAGGAATCAGATGCACACTAACAACTAGCCGACACGATTTTGCTGACTACATTACTAGCTAGTAGTCAAAAATACACGCAAGAAAAACTAAACACACCTATTTCTTTTGCAAATAGAGTTGGACCAAAATTGAACATAAACAAAACTAAAGTTATGAAGCAAAATAAATGTGTGTTTGGTTAGTGACGTCACAAGGTCGGGTGTCACCCTATGCGTTTACTAAAGGTGTCACCCCATGGTCCCCAACAATTAGCCTTTGCTGGAGCATCACCCCTCACTAATCTTTTATTTATTGAGCTGGATACAACTTAATTTTGACAGTAAATTTGACAGTGTTTCATCATAGTGTCACGCCTAAACCTTGGCATCCCTTTTGATGCTACCGTGTTTGGTTATTTATGTTGAAGACTTAATTGTTTTTTGTTTACAAAACTACGGGGTAGTATGTCTACATAATAATCCTAATATATAAAAGCCTATGTGCGCACTTCTCTCTCTCTGTCCACATGTTCCGAGCCTTAAAGATCATCAGTATCTTCAACGATATATGGAGGACTTAAAGATAAGATTTGTTGAAAATAATATGTTAGATGTTATAAATGTATGAACTACATTTTATTTAAAGAAAGAAAAAAAAAGCAATATTCGAATGTAGAAACACCTTTTTAATTTTGCAACCGGAAACGTGTTTATGAATATGGTTTTTTCTGTACCTTTGTTTACCCTTGGCGTTTAAATATCACTTTCTGTTTATATTATTATTTCAGTTACAACGCCTGCTTCCACCCCCTCTACATGTTTACACCCATTTAAGGAAGCTACTATTTGTTTGTATCATCGTCCCTCTATTTGTCTGTATCATCGTCCCTCTATTTGTCTGTATCATGGTCCCTCTATTTGTCTGTATCATCGTCCCTCTATTTGTCTGTATCATAGTCCCTCTATTTGTCTGTATCATCGTCCCTCTATTTGTGTGTTGTTTGTGTGGTCAAATAATGGTCCTTGTTGTGTTTATAAGGCTAGCGGCCAGACCCTTCGGGGTCAAGGGTCAAAGCCAGCCCGCGTCTCCCCTGCACAAGCCGTGATAGTGGTCTGCCATGAGATATGAAATTTCATCAACCTAGCTGTAGCGGTACTCAAGTTATCATGTTTACAGACACACAGACATACGGACAAGATTGCAAAATTATGTTTTTTCGACTCAGGGAGGTGTAAAACGTACAGATTTACAAAAATCTCGTTTTTTTTCCCGACAATTAAATTACTTTCTCTATACTTTGTATACGAGAAAGTAAAAAGTAGGGAATATTTATATTAATTAAAATCCCTCGTAAGTAGCCGTGGATTTCTTCACTGGTCATGTTTAACACCATTGAGCCTAAGGGCTGACAAACGGGCCCACTGATAATTTTTGCATAGGGGCCCAGAAAATACGCCAGAGTGGGACCCCAAGTGTCTTGGGCATGAAATTAAAAAGGTGATGATTGATAATGCCATTTTCTGAGGGTGAAAGTTGGAGTGGTCTAAATGAATGATAGCAGGATGACAATCTTATAACACTGGTAAATGTAAAGGTGAATCAATTAGAATACACAGGTAAATCTAAAGGTGAATTAATTAGAATACACAGGTAAATGTAAAGGTGAATCAATTAGAATACACAGGTAAATGTAAAGGTGAATCAATTAGAATACACAGGTAAATGTAAAGGTGAATCAGTTAGAATACACAGGTAAATGTAAAGGTGAATCAATTAGAATACACAGGTAAATGTAAAGGTGAATCAATTAGAATACACAGGTAAATGTAAAGGTGAATCAATTAGAATACACAGGTAAATCTAAAGGTGAATCAATTAGAATACACAGGTAAATGTAAAGGTGAATCAATTAGAATACACAGGTAAATCTAAAGGTGAATCAATTAGAATACACGGGTAAATCTAAAGGTGAATCAATTAGAATACACAGGTAAATGTAAAGGTGAATCAATTAGAATACACAGGTAAATATAAAGGTGAATCAATTAGAATACACAGGTAAATGTAAAGGTGAATCAATTAGAATACACAGGTAATCTACAGGTGGACTTTGACAAACCTCTTTCAACATGTTGAATCCTGCTAAAGCCATTACAACATAGGTGCCGACACTTGCAAACAATGGCTGCTCATGCTGGAGTGACAGGCTGTTGCACTGGTTATCCATGATAAGGCGTTGGTCTTCTGCTGTGCTGTAGGTAGTTGGTCATCTCACACAGTCACATTGGTCATCTCACACAGTCACATTGGTCATCTCAGTCACATTGGTCATCTCACACAGTCACATTGGTCATCTCAGTCACATTGGTCATCTCACACAGTCACATTGGTCATCTCACACAGTCACATTGGTCATCTCAGTCACATTGGTCATCTCACACAGTCACATTGGTCATCTCAGTCACATTGGTCATCTCACACAGTCACATTGGTCATCTCACACAGTCACATTGGTCATCTCACACAGTCACATTGGTCATCTCACACAGTCACATTGGTCATCTCACACAGTCACATTGGTCATCTCACACAGTCACATTGGTCATCTCACAGTCACATTGGTCATCTCACACAGTCACATTGGTCATCTCAGTCACATTGGTCATATCACACAGTCACATTGGTCATCTCACACAGTCACATTGGTCATCTCACACAGTCACATTGGTCATCTCAGTCACATTGGTCATCTCAGTCACATTGGTCATCTCACACAGTCACATTGGTCATATCACACAGTCACATTGGTCATCTCACACAGTCACATTGGTCATCTCACACAGTCACATTGGTCATCTCAGTCACATTGGTCATCTCACAGTCACATTGGTCATCTCACAGAGTCACATTGGTCATCTCAGTCACATTGGTCATCTCACACAGTCACATTGGTCATCTCACACAGTCACATTGGTCATCTCACACAGTCACATTGGTCATCTCAGTCACATTGGTCATCTCAGTCACATTGGTCATCTCACACAGTCACATTGGTCATCTCAGTCACATTGGTCATCTCACAGTCACATTGGTCATCTCACACAGTCACATTGGTCATCTCAGTCACATTGGTCATCTCACACAGTCACATTGGTCATCTCACACAGTCACATTGGTCATCTCAGTCACATTGGTCATCTCACACAGTCACATTGGTCATCTCAGTCACATTGGTCATCTCACACAGTCACATTGGTCATCTCACACAGTCACATTGGTCATCTCAGTCACATTGGTCATCTCACAGTCACATTGGTCATCTCACACAGTCACATTGGTCATCTCAGTCACATTGGTCATCTCACACAGTCACATTGGTCATCTCACACAGTCACATTGGTCATCTCAGTCACATTGGTCATCTCAGTCACATTGGTCATCTCACACAGTCACATTGGTCATATCACACAGTCACATTGGTCATCTCACACAGTCACATTGGTCATCTCAGTCACATTGGTCATCTCAGTCACATTGATCATCTCACACAGTCACATTGGTCATCTCACACAGTCACATTGGTCATATCACACAGTCACATTGGTCATCTCAGTCACATTGGTCATCTCACACAGTCACATTGGTCATCTCACACAGTCACATTGGTCATCTCACACAGTCACATTGGTCATCTCACACAGTCACATTGGTCATCTCACACAGTCACATTGGTCATCTCAGTCACATTGGTCATCTCAGTCACATTGGTCATCTCAGTCACATTGGTCATCTCAGTCACATTGGTCATCTCACACAGTCACATTGGTCATCTCACACAGTCACATTGGTCATCTCACACAGTCACATTGGTAATCTCAGTCACATTGGTCATCTCAGTCACATTGGTCATCTCAGTCACATTGGTCATCTCAGTCACATTGGTCATCTCAGTCACATTGGTCATCTCAGTCACATTGGTCATCTCAGTCACATTGGTCATCTCAGTCACATTGGTCATCTCAGTCACATTGGTCATCTCAGTCACATTGGTCATCTCAGTCACATTGGTCATCTCAGTCTCATTGGTCATCTCACACAGTCACATTGGTCATCTCAGTCACATTGGTCATCTCAGTCACATTGGTCATCTCACACAGTCACATTGGTCATCTCACACAGTCACATTGGTCATCTCACAGTCACATTGGTCATCTCACACAGTCACATTGGTCATCTCAGTCACATTGGTCATCTCACACAGTCACATTGGTCATCTCACAGTCACATTGGTCATCTCACAGTCACATTGGTCATCTCAGTCACATTGGTCATCTCAGTCACATTGGTCATCTCAGTCACATTGGTCATCTCAGTCACATTGGTCATCTCAGTCACATTGGTCATCTCAGTCACATTGGTCATCTCAGTCACATTGGTCATCTCAGTCACATTGGTCATCTCAGTCACATTGGTCATCTCAGTCACATTGGTCATCTCAGTCTCATTGGTCATCTCACACAGTCACATTGGTCATCTCAGTCACATTGGTCATCTCAGTCACATTGGTCATCTCAGTCACATTGGTCATCTCACACAATCACATTGGTCATCTCACACAGTCACATTGGTCATCTCACACAGTCACATTGGTCATCTCAGTCACATTGGTCATCTCACACAATCACATTGGTCATCTCACACAGTCACATTGGTCATCTCAGTCACATTGGTCATCTCAGTCACATTGGTCATCTCAGTCACATTGGTCATCTCACACAATCACATTGGTCATCTCACACAGTCACATTGGTCATCTCACACAGTCACATTGGTCATCTCAGTCACATTGGTCATCTCAGTCACATTGGTCATCTCAGTCACATTGGTCATCTCACACAGTCACATTGGTCATCTCACACAGTCACATTGGTCATCTCACACAGTCACATTGGTCATCTCACACAGTCACATTGGTCATCTCAGTCACATTGGTCATCTCAGTCACATTGGTCATCTCACACAGTCACATTGGTCATCTCACACAGTCACATTGGTCATCTCACACAGTCACATTGGTCATCTCACACAGTCACATTGGTCATCTCACACAGTCACATTGGTCATCTCACACAGTCACATTGGTCATCTCACACAGTCACATTGGTCATCTCACACAGTCACATTGGTCATCTCAGTCACATTGGTCATCTCAGTCACATTGGTCATCTCAGTCACATTGGTCATCTCACACAGTCACATTGGTCATCTCACACAATCACATTGGTCATCTCACACAGTCACATTGGTCATCTCACACAGTCACATTGGTCATCTCACACAGTCACATTGGTCATCTCAGTCACATTGGTCATCTCACACAATCACATTGGTCATCTCACACAGTCACATTGGTCATCTCAGTCACATTGGTCATCTCAGTCACATTGGTCATCTCAGTCACATTGGTCATCTCACACAGTCACATTGGTCATCTCACACAGTCACATTGGTCATCTCACACAGTCACATTGGTCATCTCACACAGTCACATTGGTCATCTCACACAGTCACATTGGTCATCTCAGTCACATTGGTCATCTCACACAGTCACATTGGTCATCTCAGTCACATTGGTCATCTCAGTCACATTGGTCATATCACAGTCACATTGGTCATCTCACACAGTCACATTGGTCATCTCACACAGTCACATTGGTCATCTCACACAGTCACATTGGTCATCTCACAGTCACATTGGTCATCTCACACAGTCACATTGGTCATCTCACACAGTCACATTGGTCATCTCACACAGTCACATTGGTCATCTCACACAGTCACATTGGTCATCTCACACAGTCACATTGGTCATCTCACACAGTCACATTGGTCATCTCACACAGTCACATTGGTCATCTCAGTCACATTGGTCATCTCACACAGTCACATTGGTCATCTCAGTCACATTGGTCATCTCAGTCACATTGGTCATATCACAGTCACATTGGTCATCTCACACAGTCACATTGGTCATCTCACACAGTCACATTGGTCATCTCACACAGTCACATTGGTCATCTCACAGTCACATTGGTCATCTCACACAGTCACATTGGTCATCTCACACAGTCACATTGGTCATCTCACACAGTCACATTGGTCATCTCACACAGTCACATTGGTCATCTCACACAGTCACATTGGTCATCTCACACAGTCACATTGGTCATCTCACACAGTCACATTGGTCATCTCACACAGTCACATTGGTCATCTCACACAGTCACATTGGTCATCTCACATTTTCACATTGGTCATCTCACACAGTCACATTGGTCATCTCACACAGTCACATTGGTCATCTCACATTTTCACATTGGTCATCTCACACAGTCACATTGGTCATCTCACACAGTCACATTGGTCGTCTAGCAATCTCAAAAAATACTGTTTATATGTATAGGGTGATTCAGTGCTGAGCTACTTACTAATACTAGGGTTGTTAATATCTGTTCTACTTACTAATTATAGGGTGGTTGAGTGCTGACCATGTATCCAGTGAGGAAGATAAGAAAGATGACATAGACAAAGAAAGAGAGGTAGTAGAAGAAACTGCCAAATGTGTTCCACTTGTGCTGGAGCAGGGAGGTGACTAGTGGGTGGGCCAGTAAATTCTCTCTCTTGGACAAGATCTGAAACAAGTGGGTACAAGCTGTCATGTGTATAAAGTGGAGGACTATTATAGAGAACCTACCATGATGTAAAGTGGAGGACTAGTAAAGAGAACCTACCATGATGTAAAGTGGAGGACTAGTAAAGAGAACCTACCATGATGTAAAGTGGAGGACTATTATAGAGAACCTACCATGATGTAAAGTGGAGGACTATTATAGAGAACCTACCATGATGTAAAGTGGAGGACTATTATAGAGAACCTACCATGATGTAAAGTGGAGGACTATTATAGAGAACCTACCATGATGTAAAGTGGAGGACTAGTAAAGAGAACCTACCATGATGTAAAGTGGATGACTAGTAAAGAGAACCTACCATGATGTAAAGTGGAGGACTATTATAGAGAACCTACCATGATGTAAAGTGGAGGGCTATTATAGAGAACCTACCATGATGTAAAGTGGACGACTAGTAAAGAGAACCTACCATGATGTAAAGTGGATGACTAGTAAAGAGAACCTACCATGATGCAAAGTGGAGGACTATTATAGAGAACCTACCATGATGTAAAGTGGAGGACTATTATAGAGAACCTACCATGATGTAAAGTGGAGGACTAGTAAAGAGAACCTACCATGATGTAAAGTGGAGGACTATTATAGAGAACCTACCATGATGTAAAGTGGATGACTAGTAAAGAGAACCTACCATGATGTAAAGTGGAGGACTATTATAGAGAACCTACCATGATGTAAAGTGGAGGACTAGTAAAGAGAACCTACCATGATGTAAAGTGGAGGACTATTAAAGAGAACCTACCATGATGTAAAGTGGAGGACTATTATAGAGAACCTACCATGATGTAAAGTGGATGATTTGTTTTTAAGAGATTCGTGTCCATACTGTAGGGCTGAGCATCTGGGGCAAGTTTGCCATCATCTTCATCATAGTAGCTGCCTGCAAGGAGAAAGTTACAACTAAATCTAGGCGCCATCTTCATCATAGTAGCTGCCTGCAAGGAGAAAGTTACAACTAAATCTAGGCGCCATCATCTTCATCTACCGCCCCATACAACGATCTATAATTATATACTTTTTTCCCCTCCCAGAAAATTCCCTCACCCCCCAGCCTCTAAAATTTCAAGTACCCCCACCCCTCTCGGGGAGGAAAATGTCTGAAAGAAACACTGGTCGCATTTGTTGATCATACAAACTAAAGGTAGAGCCTGGAAGAGCTGCATGAAAGAAACTGCACGCAAAACACTTTTTAGATTAGAAAATTTCAAGTTCCCCGCTCAGGAGAGGAAAAAATCTGAAAGAAACACTGGTGTTGCGCTTAGCCACTACTCGAAGAATTGCATGAAAGAAACTCTGCACGCAAACCACTTTTTAGCATAGACACATTAATTAGGCGGTAATTTTATTATAGAGTATCGATGACGACATTTCTTTTGAGTTGGGGGGGCGGTGGCTTAGACGTTCTTTCTCGAGGGTGGGGCTTTGGCCCTACCCGAAGAATTGTATGAAAGAAACTCTTCACGCAAACCACTTAGATTAGACAAAATTGGCTTTTTAATTCAATGTTTACTCGAGAATCAATGACATCATATTATTTTGTGCACTCTCCCGGCTTTCAACTCTTTTCTACTATTATGCTCAATATGACGTCATATTTCGTTTCTGTTTTACTATTAAAGTTTTTATTTTGCTTGTGTTTTCTCTTTAGTATTCTTGTCAGATAGATAGATAGATAGATAGATAGATACACAGATAGACAGACAGCAAAACTATTAGTATTATACTAATTATCAACCTACTATAGATAAACATCATTAATACTAATTATCAACCTACTATAGATAAACATCATTAATACTAATTATCAACCTACTATAGATAAACATCACTAATACTAATTATCAACCTACTATAGATAAACATCATTAATACTAATTATCAACCTACTATAGATAAACATCACTAATATTAATTGTGAACACTTAAAATGGTTCTCCATGACAGAGTTTCTTCCAGGCATCTCTTCAGAGGGGCGAAGACCCCCCCGAAAATTTTTTACCCCCCCATCCCCGAAAGAAATGAAATTTATATAATTTATATAGAAAATCTATACTTTTAACAGTGTCCACCCCCCCCCCCCCGAAGAAAGATGCCGCACTGGTGACACCTGTAGCAGTAGAAGAATGAACTACTTTACCATTAGAGGAGAGTTGATCCTGAGTGCACTTCTCTTTAGGGTTGAGAGTGTGATAAATCCAAGGGGCAAACACATCGTCCAGGAACTCGTAGTCAAATGTGATCTCAAAGCCCAACCGCTCAGAGTTCTTCTCAGTGCCATAGCTCAGACAGCGGTCAAACACTCTTAAGGCTATTTCTGGTCAAAACTAAAACTCATATACTGTGTTGGCCAAAAGTAAAACTCATATACTGTGTTGGCCAAAAGTAAAACTCATATATTGTGTTGGCCAAAAGTAAAACTCATATACTGTGTTGGTCAAAAGTAAAACTCATATATTGTGTTGGCCAAAAGTAAAACTCATATACTGTGTTGGTCAAAAGTAAAACTCATATATTGTGTTGGCCAAAAGTTGAAACTGATCCCTCAGGGTTTCGTTGACATGAAAAGACTGGGACCATTTACATAAGAGGCATATAGTTGTGTGGGTAAGGGAAACACCAAGTGCTGCTTATGTCTATCTCTATATCTATCTATCTGTAAGTCTGTCTGTCTGTCTGTCTACCTATGTTTGTATGTATGTATGTTTGTATGTATGTATGTATGTATGTAAGTATGTAAGTATGTATGTATGTATCCATCCATCTATCTATATTTCTACATATACATTATATATATATATATATATATATATATATATATATATATATATATATATATATATATATATATATATATATATATATACTAGCGTGCCCGTCCCCACACGTTGTTGTGGTGTTAAAAAAAAGTCCCAGAATAGTCCGGGGCAAATCGTACCCTGCCAGGGTGTGGCCAGACGCGCCTGATTCAGTGAAAGACTATAATACTACCTCTTATCCATATTCTACAACAATCTTTAAAACGAACGTTTGCGTCATAGCGCTACCTGTCGCGAACGTGTCTGGTTAAATTTAGTCTATCGCACTGTTTAAAACTAATATAGGCGCTATAGCACTCACAGGATAGCCCGGGGCGCTAAGTTGCACTATAAAAAAAGCGTGGGTCACTTTTAACTTTAGTAACTATTGGATACCTTTAGTGATATTTAGGGAAGAGACCCCCGCTTTTCTTTAAGTTATTTAAATAGTAGTGTATTACTATATATTTAAAGAAACTCATTTATTTTCTACTTTTTAGTGCATTAGTACATAAAAGCTTGTTATTAAAACGTTTTTTATGAATTACTTTCTCGTAGAGAAAGTATTGTAATTGTGCACAAAAATCACATAAACTTTGACAGTTTCCACCATTTTACTTGTCAGTACTTCATCATAAATGGAGTATAGGGGACTTTTTTTTTAATCAGGCAAAAATTCAAAATCCTGCTTTATTAAAATTTTGGCGTTTTACACGTAATCGAGTTGGAAAAACTGGACTTTGCAATTCTGTCCGGATGTGTGGAATTGTGTCTGTAAACACGATAACTTGAGTACCTTTACAGCTAGGTTGATAACATTTCAAATACAAGTATTGTATCAAATTTGTAAATCCGTATTGACTTTTCAGCGATTTCAGATAACCAGTAGTTGAACTTTTTCTACTTTCAAGTTTTCAAAAGCCTATAACTTGAGTACTTTTTCAGATAGATAAATGAAATTTCACATACAAGTAAAAGATATAACTCTCTGCCTTCTATCAAATTTTGAGTTATTTTTTGTTGACCGGAAGTAGTAATTTACTCTATTTCTGATTTCTAAAAACATGCATGTGAATGTATAAAGTACTAATAATATCCCACACTATTATGCACATTTTGTTTGGCGTTCACTTGGTGTGCAGTTCTTTTTTCTATGAGATTCTATTCTATTTTAAAAAGTTTAAGTAACTAAAAATGGTTTTAAATATGTCTATATCCCGAGTTGCCATCCTCCATAGTGTTATATAAGAATATTTGATAAAACTTAGCGAAGATCACTTATTTTTTTTCACTACTTTAAATGTTTTAAATTTACAATAGAGTTGCATGACTAAAAACCATTGCGCGCATAATGAACGTCATGACGCGTGTATAGAAGTGCAGAATAGTTTGATGAGACAGCCTACTAATATCGACAAAATTTTAATTAATTCATAAAAGACTAATTAGGCAACCAGCTGGTAAGTAGGTCACCAACCAGTTTTACGGCTCAATAAAACCTGCATGAGCCATAGAACTGGTTGGTGACCTACTTACCAGCCCTATTAAGTCAAATTTAATGTCATGTTACATTGTCTTCATGTCTTGACCCACGTACGAACTACGAACCGTATCTGTCAGTAAGACCCCAAAAAAAGTACAAATGGTAATTGTCCATTGTTGAAACTAGATTGGTATCATTGAATAATACACAAAAATAATAATTATAAGTATATATTTCTGAAATGACCATTAAACATTGTTAAAAAAAGGAATAACGGTATCGACGTTTTAGGCAGCCATCATGACCATGACGACGGCTAATGTAAAGACCAACCTGGCATGTGCTTGATAAGCTTCCTGACTGGTGTCTCCACAACACCAGTCACTCTGTCTTTTGTTGCATTCCTCAAAGCTTCTCTCCACAAGGATGAGTTGATGATGACTTTAGCCACTAAACTGTAACACAAGGATGAGCTAATGGTGAACTCAACTTTAGCAAGTTTTCTCATCATTCATTTTGACCAATGGTCCCCAAACATTTTCGAGTGGCGACCCCCTTTTATAAAAAGTAAGCAGGTTTTCATTAAACACGTTAATGTCGTGGAATTGTTCAGCAAATCCAAGAGTTCATCTTGTAATTCATTGGGAATGCTGGCAACATCAAGGGAAGCTAAAATTGCGTAACGTGTCAACGCAGTTTCTTCTTCTTTCAGCTCAGTGAAAGTTGACGTGCAGTTAATTTTCAAGATGTTAAAGATGCCCAGAAATATCTTCTTTAAAATTTTTATTCATCTCATAATCAGATTCATCTACCATACTGCGCAGATTTTCAAACATGGCAATATTCCCAAGATATATTTTCTTTGCCAATTAGCAGCTTTGATAAAAATGCCAAGAGATTATCATGACAAGAGATATTATTTGTTTCTTTTCCTTGAAGCTTCCGGTTAAGCTTTTTTTGCTGTTTGAATATATCATCACAGGTATGCTACTCTTTGTCGTTAAAGTTTATCAAAAGGTCTAGTTTCCCTTGCACTTCCAAGAATAACTTGATTTCATCTTTCAAATCAAAGACATGATTCACAACTTTTCCTTTTGACAGCCAGCGTACTGTAGTGTAGAAAAACAAGCCTGTGATAGGAACACAGACGGGTGTTTAGGGCTCCAGATTACACAGACGGGTGTTTAGGGCTCCAGATTTACACAAACGGGTGTTTAGGGCTCCAGATTACACAGACGGGTGTTTAGGGCTCCAGATTTACACAGACGGGTGTTTAGGGCTCCAGATTTACACAGACGGGTGTTTAGGGCTCCAGATTACACAGACGGGTGTTTAGGGCTCCAGATTTACACAGACGGGTGTTTAGGGCTCCAGATTTACACAGACGGGTGTTTAGGGCTCCAGATTACACAGACGGGTGTTTAGGGCTCCAGATTTACACAGACGGGTGTTTAGGGCTCCAGATTTACACAGACGGGTGTTTAGGGCTCCAGATTTACACAGACGGGTGTTTAGGGCTCCAGATTACACAGACGGGTGTTTAGGGCTCCAGATTTACACAGACGGGTGTTTAGGGCTCCAGATTACACAGACGGGTGTTTAGGGCTCCAGATTACACAGACGGGTGTTTAGGGCTCCAGATTTACACAGACGGGTGTTTAGGGCTCCAGATTACACAGACGGGTGTTTAGGGCTCCAGATTTACACAGACGGGTATTTAGGGCTCCAGATTTACACAGACGGGTGTTTAGGGCTCCAGATTACACAGACGGGTGTTTAGGGCTCCAGATTTACACAGACTGGTGTTTAGGGCTCCAGATTTACACAGACGGGTGTTTAGGGCTCCAGATTACACAGACGGGTGTTTAGGGCTCCAGATTTACACAGACGGGTGTTTAGGGCTCCAGATTTACACAGACGGGTGTTTAGGGCTCCAGATTTACACAGACGGGTGTTTAGGGCTCCAGATTACACAGACGGGTGTTTAGGGCTCCAGATTACACAGACGGGTGTTTAGGGCTCCAGATTTACACAGACGGGTGTTTAGGGCTCCAGATTACACAGACGGGTGTTTAGGGCTCCAGATTTACACAGACGGGTGTTTAGGGCTCCAGATTTACACAGACGGGTGTTTAGGGCTCCAGATTACACAGACGGGTGTTTAGGGCTCCAGATTTACACAGACGGGTGTTTAGGGCTCCAGATTACACAGACGGGTGTTTAGGGCTCCAGATTTACACAGACGGGTGTTTAGGGCTCCAGATTACACAGACGGGTGTTTAGGGCTCCAGATTTACACAGACGGGTGTTTAGGGCTCCAGATTTACACAGACGGGTGTTTAGGGCTCCAGATTACACAGACGGGTGTTTAGGGCTCCAGATTTACACAGACGGGTGTTTAGGGCTCCAGATTTACACAGACGGGTGTTTAGGGCTCCAGATTTACACAGACGGGTGTTTAGGGCTCCAGATTTACACAGACGGGTGTTTAGGTCTCCAGATTACACAGACGGGTGTTTAGGGCTCCAGATTTACACAGACAGGTGTTTAGGGCTCCAGATTTACACAGACGGGTGTTTAGGGCTCCAGATTACACAGACAGGTGTTTAGGGCTCCAGATTTACACAGACGGGTGTTTAGAGCTCCAGATTTACACAGACGGGTGTTTAGGGCTCCAGATTTACACAGACGGGTGTTTAGGGCTCCAGATTTACACAGACGAGTGTTTAGGGCTCCAGATTTACACAGACAGGTGTTTAGGGCTCCAGATTTAATACAATTTACAACTTTTATTATTGAATTATGTGCCTCTAGCAAAGAAGTCGAACAAGTCTTGCTGGCGAGGGCATACTTGTGAATCATGCAGTGGATTCCCTTTGATTTGGGAGCTAAATTTTTTACTTTTTCTGAAAGCCCGATTTTGACCCAATCCCCACAGCCATTTTCCTATTTTAATCTTCCAGTATCAAAAAACGCATTTGTTTTTTCCATGATGTCTTCAATTTTTGTAGCAGTCAAGTTGACTACTAAATTGAAACTCTTCTTTAATATCATCTGAATGAATATATTCAACAGAGACACAAACATCTGTTGATTCATCAACTTGAAAAGCAACCAATGGTGAAAGCTTGGTATGATTCCAAATTTGTTCTTTAACATCTACAGTCATGTCTGCTGTACGCAGCTGAATAGTTTGATTAGACAGAGGTATTTGTTGCATCTTCAATATGCAGGCTTTGATGAGATTTCCTCCTATTGTGTGAAGGGTTTTTTACTTGGCAGCTTCTAATGTGATGCTTGCACTAGTGCTGTGTTTCCTTGGTGAAAACTTCCTGTTCAATCAAGTCTCTAATGTTTGCAACTCGCTTCATGCCGACGAAAGAACTCCATATCTTTTTTGGTGTGTTCCGAATAAATTGTCACAAAATGACTAAGAACAATCTGAAAACTTCAATACTCTGTTAATGTTTTTAAAACGTTAGCCGGGAAAACAAACGCTCGTCAAGATTTTGCATTAAAAAGCTAAATCGGAATAAATAATAAAATTAAAAAATTTTTTAGAAGTAGTTTGAGGAATAGTTCTGTCTTTCATCATTTAATATGAAATAATTCAAACTTCAAGACACCATTAAAAAACTTTAAAAAAATAAATTGTCATTGTATAGAGAATTGTTAAAGTCTATCAGTTTCAGGGTCACGACTCACAGTTTGGGAACCCATGATTTAGAATAAACAAAATATAACAGTAAACTTGAATCATTACTTTCTTCTTTATTCTAATTTGCTTTGAATGAAAATGTACAAAAAAGGTTGTAAATTGTAAAATCTGGCAAGTTAGTGGCTGAGCTAAGGACTAAGCTGGCCAGATGGAGGCTCACCTGGCAAGTTAGTGGCTAAGCTAAGGACTAAGCTGGCCAGGTAGTGCTTAACCTGGCAAGTTAGTGGCTGAGCTAAGGACTAAGCTGGCCAGATGGAGGCTCACCTGGCAAGTTAGTGGCTAAGCTAAGGACTAAGCTGGCCAGGTAGAGGCTCACCTGGCAAGTTAGTGGCTGAGCTAAGGACTAAGCTGGCCAGATGGAGGCTCACCTGGCAAGTTAGTGGCTGAGCTAAGGACTAAGCTGGCCAGGTAGTGCTTAACCTGGCAAGTTAGTGGCTGAGCTAAGGACTAAGCTGGCCAGGTAGTGCTTAACCTGGCAAGTTAGTGGCTGAGCTAAGGACTAAGCTGGCCAGGTAGTGCTTAACCTGGCAAGTTAGTGGCTGAGCTAAGGACTAAGCTGGCCAGGTAGTGCTTAACCTGGCAAGTTAGTGGCTGAGCTAAGGACTAAGCTGGCCAGGTAGTGCCTGGCCTAGATCTTACATGTGATTGTTCTCTATAGCTCTGTCCAGACAGTTCCTGCCCTCATCGTCCTTGAGTGACACATCAGCTCCCCAATCAATCAGCAGCTGTATAACGCGAGCGTGGCCAAAGCTTGAAGCCAGATGTAGGGGTGTGGTCTAAAAGACAGTAATACATTTTTAACTTTGATCATTTTAGAAGCTACGTGATTTGTTATTTTAAATTCAGGGATTAATGTGCTGAAAATGTTTAACTCATTGTGGTTGTAAGAAGATTGATGGTTGGTAAAATCAGAGTATCAGAGACCTAAAATTGATGGCTGGTAGAATCAAAATATCTGAGACCTAAAATTGATGGCTGGTAGAATCAAAATATCTGAGACCTAAAATTGATGGTTGGTAGAATCAAAGTATCTGAGACCTAAATATGATGGCTGGTAGAATCAAAGTATCTGAGACCTAAAATTGATGGTTGAGAGAATAAAGCATCTGAGACCTAAAATTGATGGTTCAGAGAATCAAAGTATCTGAGACCTAAAATTGATGGTTCAGAGAATCAAAAGTATCTGAGACCTAAAATTGATGGTTGAGAGAATCAAAGTATCTGAGACCTAAAATTGATGGTTGAGAGAATCAAAGTATCTGAGACCTAAAATTGATGGCTGGTAGAATCAAAGTATCTGAGACCTAAAATTGATGGCTGGTAGAATCAAAGTATCTGAGACCTAAAATTGATGGTTGAGAGAATCAAAGTATCTGAGACCTAAAATTGATGGCTGGTAGAATCAAAGTATCTGAGACCTAAAATTGATGGCTGGTAGAATCAAAGTATCTGAGACCTAAAATTGATGGTTGAGAGAATCAAAGTATCTGAGACCTAAAATTGATGGTTGGTAGAATCAAAGTATCTGAGACCTAAAATTGATGGTTGGTAGAATCAAAGTATCTGAGACCTAAAATTGATGGCTGAGAGAATCAAAGTATCTGAGACCTAAAATTGATGGCTGGTAGAATCAAAGTATCTGAGACCTAAAATTGATGGCTGGTAGAATCAAAGTATCTGAGACCTAAAATTGATGGTTGGTAGAATCAAAGTATCTGAGACCTAAAATTGATGGTTGAGAGAATCAAAGTATCTGAGACCTAAAATTGATGGCTGGTAGAATCAAAGTATCTGAGACCTAAAATTGATGGCTGGTAGAATCAAAGTATCTGAGACCTAAAATTGATGGTTGGTAGAATCAAAGTATCTGAGACCTAAAATTGATGGTTGAGAGAATCAAAGTATCTGAGACCTAAAATTGATGGCTGGTAGAATCAAAGTATCTGAGACCTAAAATTGATGGCTGGTAGAATCAAAGAATCTGAGACCTAAAATTGATGGTTGGTAGAATCAAAGTATCTGAGACCTAAAATTGATGGCTGAGAGAATCAAAGTATCTGAGACCTAAAATTGATGGTTGGGAGACCTAAAATTGATGGCTGGTAGAATCAAAGTATCTGAGACCTAAAATTGATGGCTGGTAGAATCAAAGTATCTGAGACCTAAAATTGATGGCTGGTAGAATCAAAGTATCTGAGACCTAAAATTGATGGCTGGTAGAATCAAAGTATCTGAGACCTAAAATTGATGGTTGGTAGAATCAAAGTATCTGAGACCTAAAATTGATGGCTGATAGAATCAAAGTATCTGAGACCTAAAATTGATGGTTGGTAGAATCAAAGTATCTGAGACCTAAAATTGATGGTTGGTAGAATCAAAGTATCTGAGACCTAAAATTGATGGTTGAGAGAATCAAAGTATCAGAGACCTAAAATTGATGGTTGAGAGAATCAAAGTATCTGAGACCTAAAATTGATGGCTGATAGAATCAAAGTATCTGAGACCTAAAATTGATGGTTGAGAGAATCAAAGTATCTGAGACCTAAAATTGATGGCTGGTAGAATCAAAGTATCTGAGACCTAAAATTGATGGTTGAGAGAATCAAAGTATCAGAGACCTAAAATTGATGGCTGAGAGAATCAAAGTATCTGAGACCTAAAATTGATGGTTGAGAGAATCAAAGTATCTGAGACCTAAAATTGATGGTTGAGAGAATCAAAGTATCTGAGACCTAAAATTGATGGCTGGTAGAATCAAAGTATCTGAGACCTAAAATTGATGGCTGAGAGAATCAAAGTATCTGAGACCTAAAATTGATGGCTGAGAGAATCAAAGTATCTGAGACCTAAAATTGATGGTTGGGAGACCTAAAATTGATGGCTGGTAGAATCAAAGTATCTGAGACCTAAAATTGATGGCTGGTAGAATCAAAGTATCTGAGACCTAAAATTGATGGTTGGTAGAATCAAAGTATCTGAGACCTAAAATTGATGGTTGAGAGAATCAAAGTATCTGAGACCTAAAATTGATGGCTGGTAGAATCAAAGTATCTGAGACCTAAAATTGATGGCTGGTAGAATCAAAGTATCTGAGACCTAAAATTGATGGTTGGTAGAATCAAAGTATCTCAGACCTAAAATTGATGGTTGAGAGAATCAAAGTATCTGAGACCTAAAATTGATGGCTGGTAGAATCAAAGTATCTGAGACCTAAATATGATGGCTGGTAGAATCAAAGTATCTAAGACCTAAAATTGATGGTTCAGAGAATCAAAGTATCTGAGACCTAAAAATGATGGTTGAGAAAATCAAAGTATCTGAGACCTAAAAATTGATGGTTGAGAGAATCAAAGTATCAGATACCTAAAAATTGATGGTTGAGAGAATCAGAGACCTAAAAATGATGGTTGAGAGAATCAAAGTATCAGAGACCTAAAAATTGATGGTTGAGAGAATCAGAGACCTAAAAATGATGGTTGAGAGAATCAAAGTATCTGAGACCTAAAAATGATGGTTGAGAGAATCAGAGACCTAAAATTGATGGTTGAGAGAATCAAAGTATCTGAGACCTAAAAATGATGGTTGAGAGAATCAGAGACCTAAAATTGATGGTTGAGAGAATCAAAGTATCTAAGACCTAAAAATGATGGTTGAGAGAATCAAAGTATCTGAGACCTAAAAATGATGGTTGAGAGAATCAGAGACCTAAAATTGATGGTTGAGAGAATCAAAGTATCTGAGACCTAAAAATGATGGTTGAGAGAATCAGAGACCTAAAATTGATGGTTGAGAGAATCAAAGTATCTGAGACCTAAAAATTGATGGTTGAGAGAATCAAAGTATCAGAGACCTAAAAATTGATGGTTGAGAGAATCAGAGACCTAAAAATGATGGTTGAGAGAATCAAAGTATCAGAGACCTAAAAATTGATGGTTGAGAGAATCAGAGACCTAAAAATGATGGTTGAGAGAATCAAAGTATCTGAGACCTAAAAATGATGGTTGAGAGAATCAGAGACCTAAAATTGATGGTTGAGAGAATCAAAGTATCTGAGACCTAAAAATGATGGTTGAGAGAATCAGAGACCTAAAATTGATGGTTGAGAGAATCAAAGTATCTAAGACCTAAAAATGATGGTTGAGAGAATCAAAGTATCTGAGACCTAAAAATGATGGTTAAGAGAATCAGAGACCTAAAATTGATGGTTGAGAGAATCAGAGACCTAAAATTGATGGTTGAGAGAATCAAAGTATCTGAGACCTAAAATTGATGGTTGAGAGAATCAGAGTATCTGAGACCTAAAATTGATGGTTGAGAGAATCAAAGTATCTGAGACCTAAAAATGATGGTTGAGAGAATCAGAGAAACAGAGACCTAAAATTGATGGTTGAGAGAATCAAAGTATCTGAGACCTAAAATTGATGGTTGAGAGAATCAGAGAATCAGAGACCTAAAATTGATGGTTGAGAGAATCAAAGTATCTGAGACCTAAAATTGATGGTTGGTAGAATCAAAGTATCTGAGACCTAAAATTGATGGTTGAGAGAATCAGAGTATCTGAGACCTAAAATTGATGGTTGGTAGAATCAAAGTATCTGAGACCTAAAATTGATGGTTGAGAGAATCAAAGTATCTGAGACCTAAAATTGATGGTTGAGAGAATCAAAGTATCTGAGACCTAAAATTGATGGCTGGTAGAATCAAAGTATCTGAGACCTAAAATTGATGGTTGAGAGAATCAAAGTATCAGAGACCTAAAATTGATGGTTGAGAGAATCAAAGTATCTGAGACCTAAAATTGATGGTTGAGAGAATCAAAGTATCTGAGACCTAAAATTGATGGTTGAGAGAATCAAAGTATCTGAGACCTAAAATTGATGGCTGGTAGAATCAAAGTATCTGAGACCTAAAATTGATGGCTGAGAGAATCAAAGTATCTGAGACCTAAAATTGATGGTTGGGAGACCTAAAATTGATGGCTGGTAGAATCAAAGTATCTGAGACGTAAAATTGATGGCTGGTAGAATCAAATTATCTGAGACCTAAAATTGATGGTTGGTAGAATCAAAGTATCTGAGACCTAGAATTGATGGTTGAGAGAATCAAAGTATCTGAGACCTAAAATTGATGGTTGGTAGAATCAAAGTATCTGAGACCTAAAATTGATGGTTGGTAGAATCAAAGTATCTGAGACCTAAAATTGATGGTTGGTAGAATCAAAGTATCTGAGACCTAAAATTGATGGTTGAGAGAATCAAAGTATCTGAGACCTAAAATTGATGGTTGAGAGAATCAAAGTATCTGAGACCTAAAATTGATGGCTGGTAGAATCAAAGTATCTGAGACCTAAAATTGATGGTTGAGAGAATCAAAGTATTAGAGACCTAAAATTGATGGTTGAGAGAATCAAAGTATCTGAGACCTAAAATTGATGGTTGAGAGAATCAAAGTATCTGAGACCTAAAATTGATGGTTGAGAGAATCAAAGTATCTGAGACCTAAAATTGATGGCTGGTAGAATCAAAGTATCTGAGACCTAAAATTGATGGCTGAGAGAATCAAAGTATCTGAGACCTAAAATTGATGGTTGGGAGACCTAAAATTGATGGCTGGTAGAATCAAAGTATCTGAGACCTAAAATTGATGGCTGGTAGAATCAAAGTATCTGAGACCTAAAATTGATGGCTGGTAGAATCAAAGTATCTGAGACCTAAAATTGATGGCTGGTAGAATCAAAGTATCTGAGACCTAAAATTGATGGTTGAGAGAATCAAAG